TTAGCTTTAACCAGCTGTTGATAGGTTGCGAATCAACTACTAATTTTGCTTATCCTTTTAATTTACCAATTAGACAATTCAATATTAAACTATTTTGGTAACAATTTACTTGATCTACAGCTGGGTTATAAAAATGTTTAACCTGAAGTTCACACGAACTAATAACTTTTAAATGGTTAATTTCGAAAAAAGGAATGTTTGTCATTGTGCTTGATTTAGAATCTGTATTGATTCCTAAATTGGTTAATAACTCGGTTAACTCGTTAATTTTGAAATAAAGATTTTAAATTTAAGATTTAAAGGTAATGTACCTACTTATAAAATTTAAATAAGTATTTAAATTTTGTATTTGAATAATAGTAATTCAAGGCAGTTTAAAAACAAGATCTCTTGAAAAAATCAAAAAACAAATAAATACGACTTACAGTATAAGATCCTGTAGCATTCTGAAGGCGATTTTTGTCCTTGACTACTGCAGGTCTTGCGGCTCCTTGTTGATGTAAAACGAGTGCCCTTTGATCCTCTGTAGATTTCACAGCTCCCACTGGTTCTCGATGAATCAGGCGAATCACGCAAGATTTTATCCAGGATCGGTAAAATCCTTGGGTTCACTGTTGACCGTACTCGTCACAAGTTGCGAAAAATGTCTTAGATGTTCGATAAGTGTTTATTAGTCGATAGAGTGTTGAAACACAAGTAAAACACGATGTTGTACTTCGACTAATCCTACCAAGACTGCGCCAGTTAAGTTTTTACTTAATAAAAAACACTTTTTATTATAAAAGACAAAATTTTATTTTACAACTAAATGGCAGAGTAACGTAAAATATGAAATGCAAACAGAGAATGACTTTTACAGAATTACAATTTTTATAAGGAATTAAAAATGCTAACTAAACATATTAAACTTCCAGTGGTTGCGCACATAACTTATAATACTCGTACAATATTGTGTAATATTAAATAATTAAAATGTATGATGATAAATTTTAATGCTATCCTAAATATAAATTCACATACATATATTTTTTAGTAATAGTTTATAGGTACTTCGTAGTATTCAATTTATACGATTCAGAACTGTAATATTATTAATATTGATATTTTGGGAATAAGTTGGTTGAAAAATATTTATTTTATTGTTAGTTGTAGATCTATAATAGTAATATTTTAAATAACTTGTTTTTTATATATATTCTTTTAATTTTTTAATTTATCTACTTGGTTTTATTTACCACTTTATCATGTGCCGTGATTGATAACCAATTTAATTATTATTAATAAAATCTCTTATTTATCTACGGATTTTCGGATGTAATAAAGTATCAAATTAATATTTTTTAAATAAACATCTACCTACGTGTTATTTCCCTTATGGTTTTTACCATTATTCATTATGTATTTTGACGAGTTACGATTAGCGGTGTATCTCTAGCATCTTATGTGCGCTTTTTACAACTCTCTCGTTGGTTCACTGGTAGCGCATCCGACCGCGAAGCGATAGGTAAGCGGTTCTAATCTCAGATATTAATGATTTCATCGGGCGGGGGTCTACAGATCATATGGTAGCCGTCGAATAGGGGGACTGTTTCTATTGAAAATATACAGGGTGTCTCAAATATATACTCCAGAAAAAATTATACAATATATTCCCATTCGGCTGGTAGGCGAGGGGGTGCCGGGGGGGCCGGGGATCGTTGGAGGGATAGGCTTTCAAAATTCCCGCCAAAACGTGTGACCTTGGAATGGACACAAAATCGGAGTTTTTGGACCTTAGATTTTCCTATGGGATTTAACATGGGAAAATGACCGAAATTGGGGTGGAACTCTTGTTGCTTATTTACTTACACATCATTGCAATGTTACTGTTCAAGTTTTACACAAAAAAATATTATTTATGTCGCGCCCGTTACGCGATTCATGACGTTATAAATGTTTTTCAATACAAGCTTTTATTGAAATTTTGTCTGAGTAAAATATCTAATTTTTTATACTATTTTTGTGTATTAACTAGGGATGTAAAATGTCGGTCATTTATTTATGTGACACGTGACATGTCATTTATATGTCATTTTTGTCATTTATGGTAATTTTTATTTACTTATCTTTAATGTATATCTATTGATATAGAAGCATCAGACAATGGCAAGTGACTAAAACATTAATAGACATAAATTTAAACAAAATCAAACAATTAAATAAAAATCCTAGTAGAATATAAAGATATCTAACTGGTTTAAAACCAGTTATAATCAAATTTTTTTGTCAGATTTATAGTCATCGACATCAAAGTCATCTAATGACTTAAAAAGTCATCTCCTGGCTTGGGGCGGCATCGATCTAACCTTTTTTTGTGTTCGCGTCGGTGGATCGCAAGCCAGGTGCGCGATCCTCGACATCACTCGCACCGTACGTATACGACATGAAGTCGAGCGATTCATTTGCGAATGGTTTTAAAAAATGGTATCCTCGACAAATCTTTGCGATTGAAAACGTACACGACAAAATTAAACGAGTGGTTTATCCGGCAACACCGCATGTGTTAGTTTATTTACGTTTAATGTAGTGGTAGTTACCAGCTTTGACAATTTCAAAGCTAATATCTGAATGTCAAATTGACATTCTCATGGACATTGTGTTTGTGTTTATATTGTTTGACATAGAAATATAATTTATACAAGTGCAAAGCTCGTCTACAACTGTGCTATTTGTATGTAACATGATGGACATTAAAAAAAAATATACCACTGAGAAGCAAAAGAAAACTTTAATTAAATTAATTTTAAAAAAACGAAGCATTGCAAAGTGGAAAATTTTCAAAAAATTTTACGTACAAGGACGCCCAGAGGAAATAGGAGAAAATTATTTGTACATCTAAATCTGTGGCATGATGGGCATGAGATAAGTCATTTTCCAAAAGATTTATAAGAAACATTGCCAATTCTTTTGAGAGACGAAAAAGTCTAACGAAAAGTTATATAGCATAAAAAATAATATTTATGTCATAAAAAACCATCGAAAAAGTATGCGACATTTAAAAACGAATGCCTAATTCCGCTCGCAGAAAACCACTCGCAATTGGTGCGCATACGTACCCAGTATGAGGGGTCAAGAATACGAAATACACGTCTCGAATGCAATGCCGTATACGTTAATAAAAGTCGAGCGCTCGAGGATAGCACGCGCCAGGCGGGTGGAATCGAAAGTCAGCTGATATTTTTGTTACCGTCATATATTTTTGTGACTGTCATATATTTTAATGACGGTAAGTTATTTTTTTGACAGTCAGAAATTTCAATAGTAAAAAATTAATGACAAGGGTGTCATGAAAAAATAATGACGACAGTCATTTTCATTATGACCGTGACTTGACATTGTCATAAAAATTTGCTTACATCCCTAGTATTAACGTATCTTGATATATCTAAACACACACTTTATTATCATGAAAAAACGCAGTGTCAGTGTCGCACCCTTTAAAATGGAAATACCCTGTAGTTTTATGCAATGAATTTACAAAATAATTACAGGAAAAAGTTTTTTGCATTAATATATTAGTTACCTACTAAGATTTTTTAATTTTGATTTTAACAGTGTGATGTCAATGTAGTCAATATGCCAATTTTTTAGGTCGATTAAACTGTTTTTATTTATTGTATTGTGTCAGATAACAGTAGGTAAAAATTAGGATGTTTCCATCTTCTTTTTAACTTATTGACACTTATCTTTTCATCTCTGGATTTATTTATATTATTTATTAATCTTTTAAAATCTTTTAGAATTGTGCAAAAATTGATATTTCTTCTATTCTTTAACATTACATTTTTGGTCACACATCTTTTATAACTTTGATCAACATGCGTAAATATATCCCTGAGAATCCATTAATTGCATTCAAACCTCGATTTTTAATGTACTAAGTTTTTGTGTAGAATGTTTAAATAATTTAAATAATTGATATTATATATATTAAATTATTATATATTATTATATATTATTATATATATTATATATTAGAAATTAAGTCTTTTTGAAAATATTATTTTTATTATCATCTTACAGATTTTTCAACTGACAAAAAACAAGTCCTGAGTTATCAATTTTTCTACAATTTTTGTACAATTTTTATGTGCTAAAAATAATAAAAACGGTAGGAATTTCGAAAAATGATTTAAAGTGCTTTTTTGTTTAGTTATTAATAATCGATTTTTTGAAAAGTAACGACAAATGTAAAAATTTATAAATAATAACTTATTATTTATAATTTTTTACAATTATCGTTACTTTTCAAAAAATCAATAAAAATGCTCTGACACATTTGACATAGTTTTACTCTTTAAGAAATAAAGTATCAATAAACATAGACATTTTGGAAACAAAATGTAAACTACGGATTTGTAATGCTGACGGCAAGCGATATGCTTTCAGCATTTAGCCAGTGCACTAAATTACCCCCTTCCACTCTATATTAAAATTATTATTTTTTAAGAAAATGTTACTTACATTTAGGTAACCTATATCCCAAAAAATATTAAGATTTTTTTGACAAATTCTTGGAGCAATGCAAAATATTTTGGATTCAATAATTATTAAGTTAAATAGCTAGAGAACTTAAACAATAAATAAATGTTTGTTAATTGGTTTCATATAAGTTTTGACTTTATTGATTTATATTGGCTAAATATTTTTTAGCAAATAATGATCAGGACAATCAAAAATATTTTACATTTTGCTTAATCATTTTTACCTTTTATAAAAATCTAAAGCAAGTTTTTAATATAAACTTGACTTTTAAATTATTTAAAACTTTTAAATTCAAACTAAATGAATTTTAAAAGTAATTTAATAATAAAGGATGACAAAAGGTGTAAAATTTTACCTTGTCCTATTTGCAGCAAAAACAGCAAAAAACCCATAAAGTTAATTAAAATTAAAATTTAATGCCTAAATCCTATCCTAAATTAAACAAATGATAATATGGGAATTAAAAGTATACTTACGATGTAGAAAACAGTCATATTTAAAACATCTTCGACAAAACAAAGTGTGAAAGGAATGCATGGTTTGCTCTCTGGGAACTGTGGCAGCATTTGGACCATCAATGTTTGGAGTACACTCTGGAGGAGCGTTGGGGTCAGTTCTTTCAGTCAGCTCGATATATCTTAAATAGAAAAAGAATAAAATGGTAAATATCTTAAATGTGTTTCATTTATATATTTTACTGTAGCTAAATTTTAGCTCAAACATAAATTTGTGAAACTGGGGAAAAAATAAATTTTTCTTAAGAAGTCTTAAAATATTTTTCTGGGTTTAACTGATATATATCGCCAATAAATATTACATTTATCGAAATATATATATAAATATTTATTTCATCACTGATATTCATAAAACCGTTTGACCACAATAATTGTCAAGAAAGGAATCTTGAATACAAAAAAAATAGGATATTTAAAATTAAGATGGCTTGCTTTAACACCTGCTTTGTGTGTTATTTTTGAGCCTATTTGTTGTTTTTTGTATGTAATTTTTATATTTTATCAAGAGGTTTTTATTTTATTTTAAATAACTTTATTCTCTAATACATATTTAATTCTTCAACTTATTCTATTGTCAAGAAAGGAATCTTGAATACAAAAAAATAGGATATTTAAAATTAAGATGGCTTGCTTTAACATCTGCTTTGTGTGTTATTTTTGAGCCTATTTGTATTTGTATGTAATTTTTATATTTTATCAAGAGGTTTTAATTTTATTTTAAATAACTTTATTCTCTACATATGTAATTCTTCAACTTATTCTATATTTTATTCAAACCAAATTTGTCATCTAGGGGTGGTTCTACATAGTGTGGTAAAAAAACAAAGAAATGTTTAGTGATACCACTAAATATAGAACTATAAAAATTTATAGTACTACTTTTGTCGTTTTGTTTACTTTTTTAAATAAATTTATTAAAAACCAGAACAGAAATAAATAAAAAAATAAATATCAAGATGTTGATAAATATCGGACTCAATATCGGATATATATTGATATTTTGATAATAATATTATTTTTCTTTCTATTGAAGCATCAAAGGGCCATTGACTTACATCCTTCAGTCAGAATATAATAGATTTCTAACATATTAATATTATTTTAACAATAAGTATATATATCATTTTCTTACAAAAAATATATATATAATTATATATAGGTAGGTATTTTGATATTTATATAAATATCACGATATTTTTGAACCCTGATAAATAATGTCTATAATTTCTTGCCATTTCATTGGCAATTACAAAAGTGATGTCACCTTACACAAGTTTTAATGTTTAAGTGTATTTTTAATATAATACTATTAATAATAATAGTAAAAATAGGTAACTTATGATGATTAAATGGTAAAAAATTATAAAAATTATGTTTTTGAACAGAACTAATAATTCCTTTGTGCTTTAAATCATTCCTCTGTAAAAATTGTTGACTGTTGACATATGGAAATATATTTAAAAGTTAGTTTATATTTCTTGGCAACAATTAGGTTTTTGACTGTTGATTCAATTTTCTTATTTTTTTTTCATTTAGTTATAAAAAAAAGAAACAAAAAAATATAAAATATTTTAAACAATAAACTTACTTGTCTCTTAACTCCTCAGGTCCCCCTTTATCAGGAAACTGTGAAGAAATGGACTGAAAAATTATCATTATAGGAAACTCCATGTCTTCTTTTTTAGGTTTGTCCTCTTCTGAAGGAGTTTTTTCATCATTAACTTTAACATCCTTCTCTTTCTCATCTTTTTCTTTTTTCTCAACTTTCTCTGCTTTTTCTGGCTTTTCTTTATCCTGATACTGCATTAAAGCATGCACCAATTCAACAAACAACTCATCATCAATAAACCCAGTTTCTCTGTCACCATGAACTTTGCCATCATAATTTTTAATTAGCTCTTCTATAAAGGTCCCATCTTGGTCCAAGATTTCATCCCCCATATAAGGTATGTTATGCAGAACTGTCTCATCTTCCACCATAAAATTCTGCTGTATTGGTGCCCATGTGTACATTGTCGGGATAGGAGTAACAGCATTAATATTTTTAATTATAGCCACTTGTATATCTCCTAAAATGAAAACAATAAATAGGTTAGAGTGTTTATTAATAACAATATTATTTTATAGTATGTATGAACTGTCCAGGTATTTTGTTAGGCAAAATTTTTTGGCTATTATGTTATAATGTTAAATAAAGAGTTTATCAATGGCTTTTTCAAGCTGACTATCTTAGGCAAAATAAAATAATAATTATAAAAGTTGTTGGTAGGTACGTTTACTAGAAATACGGTAAAATAAACATTTTTTTTGTATTTTTACCTTCATTCCCAATAACTTCTGCTTTTTTCATACAAGATGAATGAGAAGGTAACTCCGGATTTTTCGGCCAAAAAGCTCTTCCCTCTGTCCATCTTTTCTGCTCGTTTATTAGCGTTTCATTCATTTTATTTCTGTTATTGTTCCAAGCCAGTTTCACATCATCAGCTCTTTTGTATCTTTTTTGTTGCCGCAAACGCATGTATTCTTGCTTGACGCGTTTCTTCCAGTCATTATTTACTTTGGCTTTTGCCATTTTGGCTCGATTTATTATAATTTAAACTAAACTAAAATTATTTTGCCGCCAGAGACCAAAACATAACCGAAAACATTTTCATTGTTCTCAACACGTGAAGTTGTCTTCGAAAGGATTAACAGTGATACCATCAGAGATTTTGGAATTTTTACTTTTACCAACACAAAATTTAAACTTTAAAAATTAATATTTACCAGACAAAATGCATTTTATTCTAAAATTCGTATTTGCATAAAAGATATTTGACCTAGTTTTTTTTTTAATTTTTATGAATATTTGTAATAAAACGAAAATAAAATACTCTGCAGATATTCTTCTTCTTCTACGAAATTGACATTTCGATGTTGTGACATTTAAAGTTAGGTTATAAAATTTTAAACGAACAATGGCAGGTGTAAATAATATCCTCGAATCTGTAAGAGAAGATGATTTCGTCGAGTATTACTTGTTTCCTGTAATAAATTCTGAAGATATTAAGGAGCAAGAAACAATATTAAGCTGTGTATTGAGTAAGGCAAACAAAATAATTGATAATTACAGTAAAAACTATTTGTGGCACAAGGATGAATTCAAACTTGTCCCCAGGACATCAATTAGTAATTTGTTGACTCATATTGATGGAAAAAATGGTAAGTTTATACAAAGAAATGACTAATGAGTAATACTAATTATTGATTATGTGGTTGTAGAAAAACTACCCCCACATCTTTATGGGGTTTCCCACTTTGGGGATAACATTGAAGATGAATGGTTTATGGTTTTTATACTGCAACAATTAACAAAAGAAATCAATGGACTGGCTGTTAAAGTTTATGATAGTGATGGGGAGTTTATATTGATTGAGGCTGCTGATTTTTTGCCTGATTGGGCTGATCCAGAAACATGTGAAAATAGGGTAAGAATTTTTTAAAATAGTTTAATCAATAAAAATTAAACTAAATCAAAAATTATGTCAAAAACGTTTTAAAGTAAGTAGGTACCTTGATTTTATTAATTAATCAAAACTGTCTAAACTAGAAACAATATAGGTATATTATGAAATTAATATTATTCTCTTTAAAAGTTTTCTAAAAATAATTCTATAAAAAACAGTACTTTTGTGGACAAAATTTAATTGTTCATCATTGTTTTCTTCTTTTATTAAGTCTTAATTAAATAGTCCCAAAACATTAAAATAACAAAAAAAAATTCCAATTGTAAACACTTCTAACCCAAAAACTACCTAGGTAGGTACTTGTTGGGAAAAAAATTGCAATTATTTATTACAGATTGGCATTTTGTTAGTGCACCATTTTTTAGGATATATACCTATACTTGACCGCAGATTAAATTATTTAAAACTTTTGGCTGATCTTTTATAGTTTTTGTCTCAATTAGTGTAATTTCTTATTTTATTATTGTGGTGCAATGGGGAACACACTACACAGATAAGGTAAATTTAGCAGTTTTTATTAAACAACTTAAGTTGTATTGAGTTTTGATTAAGGTTAGGTTTCAAAATACTGGTAAGTTTTATTTTAAGAGGCAGGGAAAGCAATATTCACGAACTTTTCAAATAATTTGGTATGAAACCTAGCTATAAGTGGCTATGCAGTATTTATAAGCAAAGCTTATTTGTTGGCATTGCATTTTATTGGTCCGCGTCAGAAACAATTGAATATATATTTTTATTCATCCATATAAATATATTTTTAAGTTCCAGTTTAAGTTCCATATTTTAAAGATTTAAAAAACGAAGATTGCTTTGATATTTTTGTTTGTTGTTTTTTTTTAATTTATAATGGTTTAGTAGGGCTATCGGCCATTTTAAAAAAGGTCAACGCGTCGTAGAATAATACCTCCTGGGTGACGTGGAAATTTATTCGTATTTAGACAAAATTAACCTCATGTAGCCTCACCCTCCTATACACCAACGAGCCTCCACTGTTAAATACATATTTTTCTCTATAATTTTTTTGTATACCAGATTTGTTTTAAAATTATATTCTAAAAAAACATATTTATTCTTTGCACATTTTAAAATCAATTTATTATCAATTACAATATACAAATTTGCCAATTGCAGATATTAGCTATACTTAGGTCTTTTTTGAAATGATCATTTAAGTCTAGATTTCCAACTTGGGTCTTTTTTATTTTACTTACTCGTAAAAATACTTTACGGGCTTTTTTAAATACAACAATACTGTTATTTAAGGTAGTTGTCGTGGTACAACATTGTCAAAATTTTTTAGATTATACGCACCGTAAAAGTATGCGAGCTTGTAGCTAAGTGATTCATAATTTTTTCGCAAGACTGTACCCTGGAGACGTTACCTTTACGTAATACTTTCAAATATTTTCATAAGTTTTAATCCGGCAACGTCGCTTATGCTCAACCAATAGATATATTGGAGACTGAATCAGTGTGTTTGAATTTACTTCGGAAATAATATCTATACTCGCGTACAGCGTTGCCAAGTTGTTTTTATCTGACACTAGTGATGTATACTTTTTACAAATTGTTGAACTTTAAACAGTTATTTATAAACAATTGGACGGTCAACAATTTTTAATTATTTTTTTTTAAACTCAACAAAAATACATTAAAAGACTGTTAGTTTTTTGAAAGCTTCTGACAGTTAGTTTTTTTTATAACTAAGAAACTGGTACAGAACTACAGAAAGCGTATATAATCCATGTTAATTATCCAATTTTTAATTGAATTTATCTCGGTTTATAGACGGTCAATCGACTTCAAATTTTAAGGATAATTGTATTGTCATGTCTTTAATAAGTATACAAAAATTAAAAATTTTCTGATGGTATGCTTATAGCACGACAACTAGAGATGTAAAAAAAACGGTTTTTTTCAGATGTAAAAAAAACATGAAAAAAAAAACTAGAAAAAAAGCGGTTTTTTTTTGTTTTTTTTTCAAATCCGCTGCAATAAAGCATATTTTGTCAATAAATAACATCAAACTTAAAAAAATGGAGTAATTTTTCAAAATGAAATTTCGAGTAAAATTTATATTAATAATAAAGTGAAATGTAGAATATATTACATTTTTCATTATTGAAAATTTTGACCGAGACTAAATTTTTTTTTTTTTTATAAAAAGTCTTATTATTTTGTATTTTCCACATAAGAAACCAATAGCAATGCAAAACTTCTACACTAATAGAAAAAAATTCCAAATTTTTTTCGATTTTTAGCTGTTTCTTCGTTAAAAATGGTCGTATTGGAGCCGTAAAAAAGCAATTTGAAGCTTGAAGTTTCTAGTTTTGAGATTTTTAGATAAAAAACGTGCAACGCTCAATCCTAACGAAAACCGTAATAAAAAAATTCGAAATTTTTTTGGCTTTTTTTTGGTCCACGGAATGTTCTGACCACCAATGAATAAATGTTCTACAAGAATTTGCTGTTGTTTTTTTTTTTGAAAAAAAAATTCCATACTCTACATGAAATTGAAAAATCATGAATAAAAAGTGCTTTTGGTAGCTTTTTGAAAAATCAAGCGCTGAATCAAAAATATTACAGGTAGTTACTTTTTTAGGACCAAATCAAAACAAGCGCGGCCCTTATTGGTCAATTCGGTGGTGGTGGCGCGTGCAAAGCGCGAGACTGTAATACAGTGTATTTACATTTACTAAATGTCATTTAGAGGCTAATTTTAGTCCACGAACTGGACTGGAAACATACAAAATTAGGCAAATGGGACTAATCTTGAAAAAAAACCTAAAACATGAAAAAAAACCATTTGAAAAAAAAAAACAATAAAAAATAACCTGAAAAAAAACAAAAAAAACGGACCGTTTTTCTTCAAGTCGCATCTCTAACGACAACTACCTTAAGCCTATGAGGTTTTTAAAACAATAAACAAATACTCAGCCCTAATTTGGTTAAAATTTGGTCTTTACTGACTACCTAAGATAAATTAAAAACTACTTTATATCAGTTAAAAGTTTTAGTTCTTAATTCCCAAAGGAACATTAAAAAATTAATTTTCATCAGACCAATTAAATTAACAATGACTTTATTAATTAAGTATTTTTTCCACAAGGTTTACTTATATGAAAGCAATGTCCACATAATCCCTATGGATTCAGAAGAAGAAAAAGAATTAACAGTTTCATCAGCTCTAAGTAAACTCTTCAAAAACCCCACCGAAACCAAAGCCTCTCAAGACATTCAAAATACCTTCAACAATAAACTGAAAGGCTACCCTGAGAAAACAAAAGACAATATACACCGGTCCACGATCTACGTGCCAATCGGCGTCGCCGCCATACTAAAACTCAAGCCCACTCTGATCGCACCTGCCATACAGGCGTTTTGCAACCGAGATTCCGTCGATTTACGGGCATGCCGCGCCATGAAGTATTTCCCTCCAGAAAACCGAGTCAACACAAGCGTAAACTTCACAAAATGCATGTACGCCATGCTGACGCATAGCAAGTTTGTGCCTGATCGTAGGACAGGCTGGAACCTGCCTCACTCTTCCAGTCCGCAGTTCAAGGCTCACAACTTGGGTCTGCGGGTGGCGTCGGGATTTGAAATATTAATTTCTCAAGCAAAACCCAGTGCTGAGATCGAGAGCGATAAAGGCTGGGCTAACTACCTTCAAAGCCTCAAAAATAAAGGCTACTTCCAAGACTTAATGGAGAATTCGAGAGACTACAATAATTTACTGAACAAAGCCAAAGAGTACTACATTAATCACCGCGATTCCATGCAATACATGCCGGCTGTAGGCCAGCAAATCCTAGAGCTAACTAAAACATTAGATTATAACGCCGATGAATTAAAGAAAGCAGAAAGCGATTTACCTAAGGATGACGACGATTCTTGGTTGGATATTTCACCTGAAGAACTCGATCAAATGTTGCAAGAAAAATACGGGCAAAAAAAGTTTATTAACGTTAACAACAATACGGATCCGGGAATGTTCACCGATAAAGTTAAAAATTTTATTAACCACGTCTCCGAAGTCGAAGGTGCCGAATTTCCGAATCACTCCCCCCAAAGACCTCCCCGGGGGGTTAAGTCAAAAAACAAAGTCTCCTTCTCAAAAGATACTAAAGCAGACGAAAATAAGTCAAACAATAAAGTTAACTTTGACCCAAATTCATTTTCCTGCGCCGTTCAAAACATATTAAATTTTGTTATACCGGAGGATGATTCATGGGATCAATCCGGTTCTGACATGAGCGAATATGAAGACGACATAGAAGTTAATAATGGAGAATCGTACGCTGAAGTCAACGCTAAAATGAAAAAATACATGGATGAAATGGATAGGGAACTGGCCAAAACAACAATCGGTATGTAAAAATTATATTTCATATAATATGGGTAAGGTAAAGTGGATCCTGAATTTACTAAGGGTCAGAATGTAATAAAAAAATTCAAAACAAAGACTATAGACTCTCTAATCGAAAAAATGTATCATTCATTTACAAAAAATAGTACAAAGGTGATAACTTAACATAAATTTGATTAAAAAATGTTCACTTATTTAGTTTTTATAAACAAGCAAACTTTTCAGCAGTGCTTCCTTTAAAAATGATTGATTTTTCTTAAAAATATTCCATTCAAATAATTTGTTTCAAATTACCCCTTAGTTAGGCGCGCGGGGTATTTGTGGTATTTCTTAAAAAAAATTATATGCTCATTTGCACTCCACGCGACCAATAAATCAACTCGGACTTGCTATGGTAATTTCTTTTATTTTTGTTGTTTTTGTTGTTATAGTGGAACAAATCAATAAAACATTACATTAAAAAAATGTAATACCTACATATACACATAAATACTTATAATAATTTTTACAATAATTGTTATAATACGCTAAAGAAGTATCACTAGTAGCGCCACCATTCGGTTGTTATCATCGTAACAAAAATATATCTTTTAATAATCAGTTGTCAAACGCTTATGTTACAAACGAGTGTTTTTGAAAATAAAGCCGGAAAATGTTAAAAAATATCGAACAAAAAAACCGTGGCTCGATTTGTTGTGTTGTTGGGTGTATTTCGAGAGGAAATCCTGGGTTGAGTTTTTACCGGTTTTCCAATAAACAATGTTAATCTGAATGAAGAAATAAATTGTACCTATTAGATTCAATAAATACACATTTTAGTAGCGATTAACGTGAAAAATGTAAATATTTCAATTCAGTAAAAATCGTCAAACAAATAAGTCGTCTAAATTTAAAACAGCATTTAGCATTATTAAAAGCGTTGATTAAGAAAGTCTCCACTCAACGGTAAAATACCATTATTTATTATATATAATATTATGTTGCCATGAATTTGTAGGTATATTTTGTTATTTAAAATGCAGTTGTCGGCATTTTTTAGAAAACTCACACATAAAAATGGTTGATTTTATGTTTGTGAAAAAATTATTGTTTACTAATTTCTTAAAAATATCCAAACTTAAATATAAATTATATTAGGTAAAGTTATCATTAGTTAATTCTGCACCAACAAATGTACTTACCGAATTGGATCCTTTGGCAAAACATGAAAATGCAACGATTTAGTTCTAGAATTTTATTTACAATTAAAAACACAATAATTCACCTTGATCCCTTTGATAAAATACACACACTAACGTAACTATATAAGCATTTAAGCGTTGAGTTTCTTAATCAATGAAATAAGGAATAATCAATCGAAATCGAGTACTAAAAAAGTTTTTATTTTTTCCTTGATACGGAATACACAAATAACTTGCGCGATTTAGCTGTGCAATTGAACAAAAAAAAACTACGTATTTATTTAAAAATGATGTATAATCTGTGCTTTAAATGTATTTTCGACAATTCTTAAATTCACGCAATGCATTCGAAGTCCACCAGATGGCGCGCGTTGCGAAACCCGATACTTCTTTAGCGTATAGGCTATCTTCGAAAAATAAACTGAAAAGTCAGGAAGACCAGAGCCGCAACTCAAAAGAGGTGCTATTTTTGTCAAAAAAAAAGGGACAAGAAAAAGTTGTAACAGTTGTGCAAAACTCATTTGCGATCTTTACCCTAGCTTCTTTTTTATCGAATGTGGTAAATAATGACTTGTTTAAATATTTACTAAAAGATTTATTTTGTTAATTTTGTAATTGGAAAATGTTATGTTCTTTGATAAAAGTAATATTAATCCATATTAAGTCATCATATTTTGCAAAAGTATTACCAAAGGTCAAAACAAAGTATTCCTGTACAGAAAATTAAAAAAAAAATACAAATTAATAAAAAAAATTAGCATGGGATCAAAATCAACCCACGCGCCTAATTGTCCTAATTGTGGGGGCCGAATTGGGCGCGCCCAACTTCTAGGCCTCGAAAATTATTTTTAAAAGTAAGAATTAGTTTCCGGCACAATCCACACAAGGTATGTTCTATCTTGTTTCGCGCATACTAAAAATCACTGCACATAGTTTAATGGCGGCCATACAATTCTTGTGCTTTGGATTTGTGCTCTTTAATAATCGTTTTAAAGGTTGTAATTCTTACAGAGGCACTTGTAAGCCTAAAATGAGGCCTTAAAGAGCTAAGGACAACCATTTTACTCCTCTTTTATAAAAAATAAACCTTATTCTATCAGGGCTGTCAAATTTCAATTGACATTGACAATTGACAGCCCTGGTAGAATAAGGTTTATTTTTTACAAAAACTGGTAGTCCTTAGCACTTTAAGGCCTCATTTGAGGCTTACAAGTGCCTCTGTAAGAAGCGTTTATTTTTTTATACAAAATTCAAAATAAATTGATATAAAAACCGTTTGCCCAGTCATAAAGAGCTTTTGGTTCGGTAATGTTTTCTTCGTTTTGTGAACTTGACCGATACGCCTTTCCGTGCGCAGTGGTAAAAAAGTTCCATACCGCTTTGACTTCAAAATCTTGTTTATGTGAGCAAAATAAAAAAAATATTTTTACGTTGTTTTAAAGATAGAACTCCTGAAAAGTTTGATTGTTTATAAAAAAATTAACAAGTAAATATTTTTTATAAAGTGTATGTGAAGTTATAGCCTCTGTAGGGACTTGACGTTTTTTTAAATATTTTGTACCTTGGTCCACTTCAGGAAGCCTTACCCATATCATAACTCAATTAACTTTTTATTTTTGAATTCATTATAAAATATTTTTAAACCGTTTATATAAATAAATATTAAAAAAAATAATATGTATGTATGTGATACTAATCATCATACCATTGGTTTGTGCGCCATTTTTGGAACATCACGTTTAAATTCGATACATTCTAGATTTTCATACTCTTTGCTTTCAAGTTAATCTCTCATTTGAAAAGTCCAGACTATTTTAAATTACTTTAATAATTATTTTAATAGATTGGATTTACAGTATTTTATTTATTTGCGTTTTTAGGTGAAAGTTTTGAAAAGAAAACCAATGGCGACGGTTTTGACGACATAGAAAACTTTAGACCAGTGGACATAGACGTAAACGCTTTAAAAAATATTTTGGAAAGTTATAAATCTCAATTGGGAGAAGCAGGCCCATCAAGTAATATGCTGGGTCCAATGGGTGTACATTTAGACACCAATGAAAACGCTAAAGTTGAGTAAACTTTTTTTTTTATCCCAAGTATTATTTCACATTATAAATTCTTGTCATTTTAAGTGTAGTTTTTTCAATATGGTGCCATGTATAATTTTTATTTTTATTATGTATGCCACTGCCATATAGCAGCATTAGTTAAATTTGATAAATTGACAAAAAAATAATAATTTTAGAGAATTTATATCTTTAGGGCTATGGTGCAGCTGTATTGTGGATTTAATAGCCAGTTTTTCTCATTTAATACAATATCAAGTAAATCAAAAGCTGTGATTTATCTGAAACGATTTAGTCTGATTTTTTTCCTCAAAATTAGGTACTTTTTAAAAAGTCTATAGTTCTCAGGGATAAATAATAGAAGTAAGCTTCACCATTTGCAAAAAATAATAAATTCACGTTTTGCACTTTGATAGACATTGTAAGCCAGCCTAAAAAAATGTTTTTACTAATAAAAATAGTATTGTTTGAAATTTATATTTCACCTTAATAAATTATATTTATAGTATACTTACCTATTAAGTTTTATATTTCAACGAGCTTATTTATAATGTATATTAGTAATAGGTTTAAATTTGTTTGAATGTATACCTACAGTTTATAAGAGCAAATAATTACCAATACATACAAAATTGAATTTTTGGTTGTACAATTTCTAGTCTGAAAACTTAAATCAAAAATTATATAGTTTGTTATTTTTCTATTTAAATTAAGTTTTATCCAGTATAAAATTCTGTGTTTTTTTATTGTATCAAGAAATACATTTTTAAACAAAAACTAGGGTATTTTATTCATTCCCATAATGCGCTTGCTTCATTCACTTGCACTAAAAAATCTCCTATGCCAAGGAAATAATAAAATCATTCTTAGCTGGATTAAAAATAAAAAAATATATTATTAAATACGAACCAAATTAACAAAAAAATAAATTAAGCATTTTATTTTGATGGTTTAAACCATTTAGGCACATTTTCAGTAGTTTTTAGAACTTTTTTTCCATAATTTTCTTGGGCTGCGGTGGGCTGATGGGTGATTCCAGAACTTGTACTGGCTCCATCATTCACACCAGGTTCTGGTGAAGTATTTTCATCCACATCAAAATCATCTTCCTCCATTGCTGTGCAAGTATTTCTTGTATTGGCAGTTCTAAAATTATAAAGATATTGTCTTAGCTAACCTAGGTTATGGTCACGCCAAGAAATTCAACAATTTAACTAAAAAACGTAAAATATTACATTATTCAACAGGCGGAGAAAGCGCTTATATAAAGAGTGCCTTTCGAGGCGCCAGCCGAAATTTTGCTTTATATAAAAACGCTTGTGCATTAAAACTACAACCCAACCCGCCTGAGCTGCTTAAAACCTTATTAATATATTTTATGTAATATAAAAATGCTCAGTCATTAATTGCAATGTAATTAATATGTCAAAATCTCCTTTCCTTATCATCGCCGCGGCGGTTTAGTAGACACTTCCTTATTTTTTTTTATTCGCATTATTCATTCGGATGATTTACATCTCTCGCCTGGCGGATTGAGACGTAAACCCCATCCTCGTGAATAATAGCCTGCATTATCTCTCGTATAATAATAAAATATTTCTCATATATCTTTCTTGTATTTTACCTACATCACCCCTAATAACTCGCACATGGGCGACAACAGGGATTTTTAGTGTATTATGTATCAAGTATGATAAACGCCATTTTAGACAGGAGCGAGCGAGTGCTTGAATTAATGAGTTTCTAGAAATGTTTATAAACGAGTTGCATTTTTTCTACGACAAATACTTATTATTGTCTAAAAATGATTTAAATTAAATATGTGTATAAAGCGACATCTATAAAACAATAGCGTAACCAACTTGTGTTACCGACAAAAGTCAAATTTTTATGTTCTATAAATCTAAATGTATCCCTTGAATATGGATTAACCACAGTTTTTCACAGTGAAAGTGAAGACAATGTTTTATGTTTACTGCCGGCGATATTATAAGGTCAGTGCAATGTTCATATTAACTTTTCAAATATTGGCGATAAGAAACTATTTAATACTTTTGTATTTTTGTATTGAGATAATAAAATAATTTTTACATTTAGTATTATTTTACAAGAAAGGCACTTTATTCTAACAATTGTATGACATTTGACAACTGTCAACTAATTTAAAGCCAACTTCAGCCCCTGACTAAAAACCTGTTGCTAGTAGTACATTGTTTTATGGTAAAAATAAAATATTACGCGAAAAAAAAATAATAAACAAAAAAGTTATAAAAGGATTTCTTAGAAGCCGATTTGGTATTATTTTATGCAATCCGGTCAACATGGCCTTGCCTAATTTCTCAGGGTAAAAAAATATTGTGATTTTAGTTCATCCCACTCTCTAAAAATGAATTAGTCAAAAGTAACTAATTTAATAGTTAATAGTGGCTGCTTTTTCACTTGTGCCATGGTTAACCATGGAATACCATGGTATCCCAAAATTTAACATCCAATTCTTATGTAAAATTTAAAAAAGTAGAACAGTTTTTGAGATATAGTCAATTCCATATTAAATGGAAAATTGACTATATCTCAAAAACTGTTCCACTTTTTTAACTTTTGACGACTTTTTCGGATTCAGGGGAAAATTTTACATAAGAATTGGCTGTTAAATTTTGGGATACTATGGTATTCCATGGCACAAGTGAAAAAGCAGCCACTATTAACTATTAAATTAGTTACTTTTGACTAATTCATTTTTAGAGAGCAAGCATTCTTCTTCAAACTCTAAAACTTTTAGTAAAACCTGAGATGTCGAGATTTGGTCATTACTAATGAGTCATTAGTAATGACTCATTAGGTGAAATTTCATGGAATGATCTTCAAAAGAATAAATTGTTGTTTTTTGTTTTCATATGAAAAAATATTTTTCATAGTTACCTTATTTTTGTAGCTGCTAGTGATGCCACAGAAGATGTAGTAAATTTATTTCTCAAATCATGTCTTAAATATTCCTCCTGTTTTATTTCTTCGTGAGTTCCAAAATACAACAAGGCCCCTGGTACACACCCAACTTCTATTAACCTTTTAGTTGAATCTAATATAAGTTTTGGTGGAGATGTATCTAAAATAAAAACAACTTAATTATAAATATTTTCTTAATGGAGATTAAAACTTACAGACATAAAAATTCAAACTTTTCTCCTCAACGAATTCCCGCACGAAATCCACAACACTTTGTATACTATCTGTGGGTAGAAAAGTTCCTTGAAGAACAGTACGGTCAGGAAATTGCACTCTTATAATCGCTTTCTTGTATCTGCTGAGATTGCGCAATTGCTGTTTGCTGTCATCCAAGTTTCTTAGAGCTGATGTTTTTAAAGGCGTGTTCTCCATATCGAAACGTTTTCTTTTGACGTCCCTTAAAATTTTTTTGGCATCGTCTAACGTTAAGTCGTAAAAATCGTCGGGTAATTCTTCTGGAGGCACAGCGTTGGCAGTTTCGAGGGAGAATAACATTGCGTTTCTTGTACCCAACTGAAAATATATACGTTTGTATAAATACCATTTCAAATTTTTGCATATTTCGTAAAAAATATTTTTTTGTAAAATATACACCACTGTAATGGGTCAAAACGTATTTTTATAAAGGTTCTTTCTGTTTAACCCGTTTTCAAAAAATAATTTTAATTAACAAAATTGGCTTTATTTTCAGAAAAATTCTTGTAGTATTGGGCTGTCCATAAACTTTAGTTTATAGTATATGGTACCTTGGGGATTTACTAAAAAATACACAAAATAAAAAATAAATAAATAAACTTTAGTTTATAGTATATGGTACCTTGGGGATTTACTAAAAAATACACAAAATCTCACAATACGTATTTCGATTTTACGTACGGTGCACCGCGGTGGGGCAAAATCATTTTATGATCGCTTTAAGAAATGATGACAGATTTAGCCGCTTTTTTGCAAATGGGCGATTAAAAAAAAATTGCGACTACTTTTTTTTAGGAAAATCACAAACCGCAATTTAGACGATTTCTGAAAATATAAATAAATTAGATTTACCTTTAATTCATTCAATAATTTATGCAACTAGTTTTTAAAAATTAAAAATCGCATACAAATTAACGGCTAAGGAACAAAATCACACGTGAAGCGCCGGAATAGTTTATGGAGAACAAAATTGTATTTTTAAAAAAATAATGATAAAAAGATTTAAAATAGGATCTTTTTAGTATTATTTTTTTATTCTAAATAATTATTAACTTAACAATGTTTTTTATTATCAGATAGACATAACTAAGATCCCAAAATTTCATGAAATTTAAAGATATTTTTTTAATTTTATGTGATGAAAAGTTGATTATGGTGTGATATCAAGAGCTCGCGAATTTTGTCTGTGTATCAATTAAATGTTAAAACTGTCAAAAATACGTAATACAGTAATATCATTGAGTCAACAAAACGGAAGGCTGCTAAGATGCGTCTGTACAGGTACACCAAAAATGAAAATTCGGTATACGAGGTGTGTTCAGAAAATAACGGGAATTGTTAAATTTCGCGGCTTCGGAGGTTCCGGTTGTCATAAAATTTTATTTATTATAATGGTATACATGCCCCCGAAGTATTATAAAAAATTTAGCTGTTTTCATTGTTTACTTTGTCTGTGGCAGTCGCTAAGGTTAGACGTGTTTTATGAGCTCGGCGGTTTTCGTTCGTTAAAAGAAATGGTCTTTGATCCATTTGTATCCAATTTTGCTTAAAAAATGAAATAAATTCTGTGAAATGTTAACAATAGTGAGTCTGCTATAAGTAAAACAAGAGTTTACAAGTGGTATAAGAGTTTCCAAGATGGCCGTGAAGACGTTGAAGATGACGAACGCCCCGAACGCACAAGCACATTAACAACTGATAAAAACATGGAAAAAGTGGAAGAAATGGTTATAAACCATCAGAGAAGTCGCTGATGAAGTTGGTATATCGATTGGCTCATCCCATGAAATTTTTTTAAATGTTTTGGGTATGAAACGCGTGACAGCAAAATTTGTTCCAAAATTGTTAAATTTTGAACACAATTTTTGGCCAAAAACAATACTGTAATGATGCCCCAGCCTCCATATTCGCCAGACATGCCTCTGTCTGACTTTTTCCTATTCCCAAAAATAAAGAGAACCTTAAAGGGCCGTCGTTTTGCAAAGCATAGATGACATTAAAAGCGCATCACTGAAAGAACTAAAGGCTATCTCAAAGATCGAGTTTTAGAAGTGTTTCGAGTATTGGACGAAGAGCTGGCACATGTGCATAATATCCAATGGGGACTTTTTTGAAGGCGACAACATTAATGTATAGTAAATTTAAAAGTAAACTACGTACACGTCATCAATCAGCTGATCGGGCACGGTTGTCAATGTGATGCTAAAATCCTTGCATCAAGGGAAAGTGGTAGTGCAACTACAGGGCGATAGATGGCGTTTACATGAATAATACCAAAATGTCAAAAGTCTGAGTTTTTATAACCTATATGATGCACCGCCAAAAGTATGTTTTTAGCCATTTTTAAAGACATTTTCTGATATAAAACCCAAAAATTTTGCCATCTAAAGTCAGTCTCTGGTTTATATATTCTTATTTTATGTATCCAACATATATTCTGTTAAATATTCTAATATATAATTAATAATAATCCTATTTACCTCTCTAACAGCTGTTAAAGCTAACAAAGGTCCATTATTATCCCGTTCTGCCTCAAAATAGCGTATTAAGGATGACACCAACTCTTGACTCCGACTATTTAAATGCTTCGGCATTTTAAATATAGGAAACACATAAAAACGATATATAACAAACACAAAAACGGCAATGAAAACTTAAACGATATAAAAAAAACACAAACAAACAAAATAAACGAAATAATACACGAATTAAACGAAATGTTCAAAAACACAACTGACAGCTTCGAAATTCTAAAACGTCAAATTCTTTTTTATGTGTCATTTAAATATGAAAAATTTGAATGTAAACATGACAACATCGCAATTGTTGCCAACATAATTTGGTTAAAATGCATTCAAATATGCAATTACAGACTTCGATTTAGTCATTTAGTGTTGGTACCAATGCGTAAATTTTTTGTTTTATTGATGACGTGTACGTAGTTTACTTTTAAATTTACTATAGATGAATAAATAAATATTTGTTTCAAAAAACGAAAATTCCCGATATTTTCTGAACACACCTCGTACACCATTGCTAACTCCATTATTATTGGAGCTACAAAGTTGGTTAAATAAGCAAGGCATTTTTTTCTTCTTATTAAAGTGGTGAAAACAGAAAACCAATAAAACGTCGCGTTTCTGTAATATTCACAAAAACATTTTTTTAAATATGTTTATATATTTATATCTTAAAAGACAATTCAATTTGAAACATTGTATTAAAATAAACTATACTTTATTTTAACACAATCAGAAGTGCTTATTATTTTTTTATTTTTAAGATTTAGTTAAGCAATAATAATTTTTTGTTCCAAATTTAATTGTATTTCCACATGTTATTTTTTTGAATATTTCGGAAACCTGACGTTTAATTGTTTTTATATTTAAATCATTTTAATTAATAGAAAAAATGACACCAATTTGCTAATTTAACCAACTTTGTAGCTCCAATAATAACAGAGTAGTGTATATTTTTTTAATCAAATACTTCAACCAAGAATCATTTGGTAAAGTAATATGGGATATATTTAAATAAAATAATTATATTCTATACATTTTTAAAGTTATTCCCTTTGAACATTATTTGTGTAGGCGAATTTTCAAGATTGCCGAATTTTGGCTAAAAATCTATTATTTTAGTTTTATAGGGATCTTTAGCTATATTAAAAAGAAAAAACAAGAAAAGGTATTGTCTACTTGCAGTAAATTAGTGTTAAAAATCCGTAAAATATTGAGGATTTTTTTTTAAATTTAGAAAGTGAGTTTATCATTTTTTAAAATAAAACTTGGCTAAATGGGATAGTTTTAATTTGTTAATAACAAAATAGATAGGGTGAATTCGCCGGTAGTCGGACAGTTTAGGCAAAACTGAACTTTAAATTTACATAAAATGACCAGGGTTAAGAAAATCGCAATGCAACTTATTCTACAAGAAAATTTTGATATTTCGCTGTCCGCCAGTTGCCATTATATTGTTTCTAAACCTGACGGATAATTTCTAAAAAAATAATAATAAAAAAAGTGCGATTTTGTTGGTAATCGGACAGTGTTTGCCAGTTGTCGGCCAAGTAGTTGCTAGTTGTCGGACAGCTCCTGATTGGTTAAGTTTCCACAGTCACGTATTTCAAGAATTTTATGTAAGATTTTATTTATAAAGTACTATTCATATTGATGCAGTTTTGCTTAATTTATAAATAATGAAGACCATACTTCGAATTAAATACATCAAATAAAAAAAATAACTTTATTCTTTAAAAATCAAACACTAAAACATTTTAAAAATCTACATTAACTATATTCTTTGGCTAAGTTATATTTAAAAAGGTACAAAAAAATTTAAACTTAATTACTCATTAATAATAAGTAATTTATCATTCATCGTTATAACGATGTATACATAGTTTACAGATAAAATCCAGATTGGTGACCTCCTCATAAGAGAGCCCGGAAAACTTTGTGCAGCCCAAATGATACCAGTGAGGACATAAATCACAACCAACATTTTTTTCATTTTCAATTTCTGTATCGCTTTCAAGTTCTTCATCGCATTCGCTGCATTTTAGCCTAAAATTTTGGCAATTGCTTCCTTCATCATCCTTAATAGTCCGTGCTTCATTTTCATTATTTATCATGGACCCTGCATTTTGACAATTATCGATCTCTTTGTCATTCAGTACATTTGACTTTGTTTTTTTACTTTCTTTTCTCGTTTCTTTCTTCTTCATAGTCTCTATTTTTCTCTTCTTTTTGGCATTTTCCTTCTCCTCTTTCTCCCTTGATTTATCCTCGTAATATTTTCTCCAAGCACCGGAGGAAATTGCCGAAGGGATCTTCTCTCTTTGGCGTTTCTTTAAGGCTTTTTGAAGAGGTTGGGGATATGAGAGGTGTTTCTCAAATGAATCTTCAAGTTTATCTATGTGTAGTTGTGTTTCAGGTCCATCAGTTTTCTCACTCATCTCATCTGATATAGATATAGATCCTCTCTTTTCTTGCTTTTCTTGAATTTCGTTGTCAATTTTCTCGTTTCCTATTTCCTTTAGATCCGGGTGATGATTCTCAATTTCGTCAATTTTATCTTTAAATGATCTTTCTTCATTTAAAATAGGTTTATCCATTTCTTCATTAATTTCTTTGTAAAATTCTATTATATCTACGTCAGTTTTTTTGTCGTCTATTTGTTTTTTATTAAACGCGTCAATGTCTGCGAATATTTCTTTTAAAATAGGCTCCGAGGTTTCTATTAGATCTTGAACAACATTCGTTATTTCTTTTTCTGGACATATATCACTTAAATGAGATTTCTCGCTGTTTTGTCCGCTTTCATGTGGATTGAGGAGTATGTCTTGATGTATTATTATTAAATTATTGTTTTCATTTACATCATCCCTTTCAACGGTGTGTGTTTGTTCATCGAAAATTATTTCCATATCTTCAATTTCATCTGGCGTAAAAAGTGAGACGTTGTTGCCACTATTTTTTTGAGGCAGCAATGACTTAACTAGATTTAAAATAGCTTCTGAACAGAATCCAAGCTCTGAAAGTTGAGGTTTTAGCTTTGAAATCACTTTTTCGGTACTGATGATATCAGCTTCTGATATTTCGTCATGAGCCTTTTCTATTCGATTTGTCAAATGCTCCAAAACATTTTGGACGCACTTTGAATAATCGACAGAATCGGGATTGAATGGATACAATCCACAGGCTTTAAAGCCATTTTTCATATTAGTGGACATTTTTGAATTTTGAAGAGCTTTCTCAAATATGGGACAAAACTCAGTTTTTGTGACTACGCGATTCTCATTGTTTGCTTGCCAGTCTCTCACCTCTTGGCGCCAATATTCTTTTAAGGGTTTGAATACGCCAACGTCGGCAGGTTGAATCAGATGAGTCGCATTTGGGGGTAGCGCGTACAAGATTATGCCATTTTCATCACAAAACCTACTAAGGTCAAGGGACATATGAGACTTATGCCCATCTACTAAAAATAGCACAGGTTTCTGGATTTTTTCTTTCTCCAACCATTTGTCTAGTCCATTAGCTACAAATTCGTAAAATACGTCCGACTTCATCCATCCCGAGTCTGTTTTGCCGAGGATCCAATCTGGGGGCATGCTTTCTACCAACGCTTTTGGTGGTTTCACGTAAGGAAATATTACGAGGGGCGGGCAAAGTCTACCGTCGGCTGTAAACGTAATCAAAGCCGTTAAATTTTCCTTGCTATTTCCCTTTTTAACGATATGTAGACTATGTCCTTTCAGACCTAGTACTTTTCCGGTCTTTGGACACAAACTGAAGCCACTTTCATCAGCGTTTAAAATGCGGCTTGGATCTTCTAAAATATCGGTGGCGTTTGAGTTAATTAAAAAAGACTTTAAGTCATTAAACCAAGACCGTATGTACTCTTCTGTTACTTGGGATCTGTATTTTTCGAGCGACTCTGCATTTTTCAGAGATAAATGTGGATGTCTTTTCATAAAACGGTAGTACCATGTCTGACCAGGTCTTCCATTAGTAAATGGAGTTTCTAACTTTTCTGCTTGAACAATTTTCTGGACAGTAGTAAGCAACTCATCTTTTTTTATTGGAAATCCACATTTTGACATATTTTCAATCCAGGTAACTATTTTTTGTTCATACTTCTTTGTTAAAAATGGATTTGGTCCCATCTGGTTGCAAATTTCGCTCACTTTCCCTTTAATACGGTCCTGTACCGTGGACTTCGGAACCCCGTATTGTCTGCATATTTCCCTCAATTGTCCCCCATTTTTGACACCTTCGATTGCTTTCTTTAAGGCATTTTCATCATATTGATGGAATTTGGCTTTCCCTTTGGGTTTCATGTCTGGAAATAAAGAAAATTAAGAAATATCATTGAAGAAAATCCAAAAAAAAAGTTAGTGTCCGATACTTTGAACAATGAAATTTCTTATTTGCCAGTGGTCGGACACATTTAACATGCAATAATGCATATTAATAATTAGTACTTTGCTGTCCGTCCACCGAATGTGATTTTAAATTCATCAAGTTTAAGCTGTTGAAAAAAAGAGGTGATGTATATGACTAATAATATGTCAGAAAAAGACAAAAATAGAAGGACTTCCTATTTCCAGTAGTCGGACGCCCGTCCGACTACTGAAATTTTAACGAAATGATTAGCCAGTTACCGGACACTAAATTTAACCTTAAAATATTAAAAAATGTAATTTTTTACGATTTTTAATGCAAATTTAGACAATTCTTAAGCAATTGAACAATAATTTTAATCCATAAATTATTAAGTTTAAAATTTTACTTACCTTTCAAATATCTTACACCTATTTTTTACACAGAAGAATTGGAGAGCACGTAGACATGGTAAATTTGGCGCGCTTTTAACGGTTTCAAGATGGCAACTGTAGGAATCGAAATAAGCTACATTATTGTAGAGAGGTTGGCGCAACTGATTAATAATTATTTGGGGATATAGGGTTTTATATTTCACAAGTTATTTGAAATTATACATGGATTGTCCGACTACCGGTGCTGTCCGGCTTACCGGCGAATTCACCCTACCTACAATTATCAAAAATAAAGCAATAGATTGTTTATCCATAAAGAGTATTCTATGAATTGTTAAATAGCCTACACTATTTTTCTTAATAAAAATATTAAATTTGTACTTACAAAAACAAAATCATCCTCAATTAGATTAGTAGTAGCCTCAGCATTTGAGCACTCTTTGGTACACCTTAAGCTACAATCTACTTCCATTTTCTGATTATTCTTACATTCACACTGTGAAACATTAACACTGTTAATAACCCTTTTATTTTCCGTTTTATTTTCCAAAGTACCTGCTGTTCTCTCCATACTTTTTTTTCTTTCTTTGGCCAACTTTAAAATATCTGTGTTGGGATTTTTTTCATACTTTTGAGGTTTTATTTCAGGTTTTGGTTGCTCTTCCTGTGTTTTGTTTATTTGTTTATTTGTAGAAGGTTGACTAGTATCCATAGGTTCGGATTTTTCAAATGGGGACTCGCTTTTTTGTAAGTTACGACTTCTATATGGCTTTTCTTCTACAGGTTTGGAGGGTAATGGAGCTGAAACATTGGCTTGTTGTTTTAACTCTTCAGGTGCCCTAAAAATTTGTATTATTGTTAAAATTTACATCAATAATAAATTAACTAGATTTGCAATATTATCTATCTATTGTTTAAAATTAGAGAAAATTAAAATTTTTACAATGTTTAATAAAATTTCCTTTTCAATATAAAAAGCCAAGTTTTATTTTAGTATTATAAATCCCTATTTTGTTTAAAATTATATTAAATGTGTACCAAGGGAAAGACAGGAAGAAATAGTATTTTTCCAGTTTTTAAATACCTAAAAAGTATCTTCACTTTTTTGTACTGTAAAATTAAGCAGAATTTTGAAACATACTACAACTAAAGATAATTTTGTGCTTTAGCTTAGAAGCAAAGTTGATAAATACTTGTTTAAAATCGGGAATTATTTTCTGAAATTTACTGATATATATCTTTAAAAACCAAGAAGCTACAGAATTTAGCATAAGCGAAGTCTGAAACAACAATACAAAACTGCTAACTAAAAAACTGAACATCTTAAAATGTAATGAATACTCATTTTCAACTCTCAGAGTAGGTATAGGACAAACATAGGTAAAAATAATTTAATTGTTTCAGCAACCTTTTCAAATTAAATTGGATATGGATTGACCCTATACTATTTCCTCTGTATATTATTTATATTATCTTAGAAATACATAAAAATTTTAAAAGAAGACTCAAACTAGTACTAAAAATAGAATAATTTAAATATCCTCCCATTTTGAAACACAGTTTATATCTTACTTATTCATTAATCTAATCATTGCTCTGCCACCTGTTAAACCTAAACTTTTTAATGTTGTTTTTTCAAGATCCCCTCCATATATTTCTCTTCTTGTATAAATAACAACAGGGTTTTTATCTGGTGTAGCATTTTCAGGACAAAGTTGTTTTAAAATATTTGATAAGGTTTCATTTGGATTAAAATTTCCCATTAATCGGGTTCCATTTTCCAGATTTAGGGCTAATGTTATATCAGATTCTTTTCGTATTTTAACAATCTCACATAATTCCAAACTGGCATTATTAGGCAATCCAGAAAATCGAAATGTGGAAGTGGTATCCAATACTTTATTGTGATGTTTAATATCATATTCTTCCGATTTTAATCCTTGTTTTTTACATACCTCTTCCAAAATCTATAACATAATCTATTATTGGAACACCAAAAATACATACAATTGTAATACGATACGATTTTAAATTTTAAATTATATATTTTCCCAATAGGAATTGCTTACTTGCAGAATAGTGGTGTTAGGAGTACACTTGACAGTTTGTCTACGGCCATTTGGGGCCAAAACGATTACACTGCTCATTATTAAACACTAAAATCTAACTCAAATCATTTATAAAAATAGCACAGAGCAAAATAAATTTATATTTCGGAAATGTCAAAACCGCGTATAACCTAAAATATTCAAGTCACTCTCTCTACCAACCACTGAAAACAAAAAAATATTTTATAACCAAGTTGAAGGGTTATTTAGGTTTTATGTTGGTCATTGTTTTAAATTTAAAACAAATGCGTTTTTTTCTATTCTGTGCCATTAGCGCCATTAGTTAGTAGTTTTAAAATACCTATTAGGTACTCGTTAAAAACAGTACCTATATTTTGAAATGGCTGCTGTAGAATTAATGCAAGAAGGTTCCGCCACAACCGAAGAAAAAACCGACTACTCTGAAGATTTGGATGAGGAGGAAGTTTTCTTTCAAGACATAGAAATGCTAACGGAGCATAATATCGCACAAGAAGACATAATGTTATTGAAAAAGATGGGGATTAATACTATCAAAGGGGCTCAAATGGCGATGCGACGAAAATTATTGCAAATTAAGGGATTCACTGAGGAAAAGGTTGATAAAATTAAAGAGGCGTGCTGTAGAATATCTTTATCTTCTGGATTTATGACTGCTTTGGAGGTTTCCAATCAAAGAAAGATGGTTTTTAAGTTGAGCACTGGAAGCGACAAATTAGAGTAAGAGAATGGCAATTTTAAATATTAAGGGCATTGAAATAATACAAGTAGGCTAAATGGCGCACTAATGCTATGTATACATACATAAGTATGGCACAGGATTTGGGGTTAACCACTTAAGTGGCTTTAATTAAAGCTATTTTAAGCATAAGCAAATTTTCTGGTATCCCTGCCGAAAATGACCTATAGAAACCAATAAGAGAATGAAATGGTTTGTACCGGACTAAATATGTGTATTGGTCTGGTTTTTATTGGGTTCTATATGTCGCCAAACGGTTTTAGGGCTAAATGGGAATTACCCAATCAAACCAATTCAAGACAATTATGTTTTCCAATTGATACCATGGTATCAATTGCAATTCACCAGATTCAAACCTATAAGACCCAATACATTACAACATAAATTCCCATTGGTTTCTATTGTTCTTAAATGGGCATTTTTGGCAGGGATTTGAAACTAGTTTTCTAGTTATCAAGGATTTAAGTTTAAACTTATAATAAAATTATCTCATAAAATTAATACATCTACCAGTGGCGGCTGGTGGATTTTGGCACACCCATATCTCAGTTATTGGACATGGGACCCACATCAAATTTATATGAGTTTATAATGACATTATATAGACAAGTTCTGCGCAAGCAGAATTTAAATTAAAGTTTGCGAAAAAAAGTTAGTTTTTAAGTGCAACCCCCATGGGCTGCAGCCTCCTGCCCCTCCAAATTAAGATAATTCAAATTAAAGTGGTACAATATTTAATTCACTAAAGTTTATCGACAAATTTCAAATTTTATTAAAAAATTTCAAGAATTACAGGTTTTATACCATTTATAATTTTTATTATTTCTTAGTAATCATATTTAATAAAATCATTAAAAAAATACAGTCATGAAGTATATCTTCTTTTAAAGTTTTTCGTGTTACAAAATACCGCGCGCGCCTAACGGAGGGTTCAGATGCAAGTCGGCACGGGTTCCCGTTTATAGAATGAGCTGAAATTTTTACTGGGAGTATATAAACACGTAATAAATATAATTAGAGGGTATGCGTAAAAAAACTAAAAATAAGGGACACCCTAATCTACATGTATGTATTATAATACATTTTCTGACATTTTTTAAATCATCTTAACTCGAGATCTCTTATTATTACCAAATTTAAATACCTATACTGCCCAACTATGGAGAAAGGCAGTAACTGCTAAACAAGAAATCTGTGGAAAATTGGCATAAACTAAATTTTTATAAAAAGCAGTAGATATTTAATTGATTTATTTAACTTATAAGATAGTTTACTGCATTTCTTAGTTGAATTAAGATACAAAATGTCCATAGCTTTATCATAGCACAAGAAAACGCATTAGGAATTTTTTGTAGTTACTGCCTTTCTCCATAGTAGGGCAGTATAGGTATAGTATACTTTATTTTTGAAGCCCTTTGATTATTAATAATCAAATTGTTTTCTATCCTTTTGAATATTAATCTCAAAACAATTAAATTACAAAAAACAATTTTAAAAACCTTAATAACGTTTTAAAACTCAACTTCTAAAAATTATTTAAAATGGGTGATATGGCGTTAGTGTACCATTTATAAAGTTATGATCGATCCGTCTATAAATCTCGTGACGCTAAAATGGTCAAAATTTAGAGCCCCCTTGGGAAATTTTGACTCAAAATTTTCCCCTCTCTTGTGATAGAATGGGACTATGTAAAACCCCCTCCCCAAAGTATCATGGGATATTTTATATTCTGACTTAAAATTCAACAAATAAGCAATTTCATTCGATTTACTTTATGTGACTTTTTTAAAAACCCTCCCTCCTTCCTGCAAGCGTCACGAGATTTATAACTAAAATCGGTTTTCTTTAGTAAATTACTGGGTGGAGGAGTTGAATCTATGTCCATTACTGAAGTTTTCGGCGAATTTAGAACTGGTAAAACCCAGTTGTCTCATACTTTATGTGTAACAGCTCAAATGCCTGGAAAAAATGGTTATATTGGTGGCAAAGTTATGTTTATTGATACCGAGCATACCTTGTATCCTTTTTAAATGAATTCCTATTTATTTTTATTGAAAATAAACAGAATTAATTTTTTTAAATCTATTTAAAAAAATGTGTTTTCTTAAATTCTGTACTAGTCGTCCTGAGCGCTTAAAAACCATATCTGATAGGTTTAATTTGGACCAAACTGCTGTTATGGAGAACATTTTATATGCTAGAGCCTATAATTCAGAACACCAGTTTGAGTTGCTGAACAGGTAAGAACAAGGAATTTTTGGCACGCTTGTAGAAAAAAGTTTCTAATTAAAATTTCTCTAGTGTTGCAGCAAAATTTCACGAAGAAGCGGGAATATTTAAACTCCTCATTGTGGACTCAATAATGGCTCTATTTCGCGTAGATTTTAACGGTATAGGTGAGTTGGCAGATCGCCAAAACAAACTTGGCCAAATGATGTCGCGTCTTCAGAAAATAAGTGAAGAATTTAATGTGGCTGTTTTTATTACAAATCAAATCACTTCGGAATTTAATAATAATCAAAATTTGTTGGAGGAAACTCATAAACCTGTTGGAGGGAATATTTTGGCGCATGCTTCCACAACTAGGATTGCCTTAAAGAAGGGCAAAGGAAATAAGAGGATTGCAAAGGTTTACGATAGTCCAGATTTGGAGGAGTGCGAAATTACTTATATTATTACAAATGGGGGTATTGCTGATATAAAGGAATAAATGTTTTAATGTTTTTTTAAATTAATTTAATTAAAACATAATTGTAACGTTAACCAAATTTATTTATTTATTTAAAACGTTAACCACAATTGTCTTGTCAACAAAACCTTAATTAAGTCTAACATAACAATAACAAAAACAAGGGCAGAAAATAGTACTTTTTCATACACTCGTCGATAATATTTATAAAAAATTTAAATTAAATTTATAAAAAAATCCATTAGAAACATTTGTATACAAATGTTTCTAATGTGTTTTTTTAATTTCTGTTGCAATAAAGAACACAGCATAATTAAGGTTTATTTACGCTTTCAATACAATTTTATATAGAAGCTTCTTAAGGATCCTTAAGGTCAAATAAGTATTAATAAATATATAAATAATATGTATAATGTATTTTTAGTTTTTTAAATGTATTAACAATTAATTACTATTAAAATTGTTACCTTGAAATTTATTATTTCTTTGTTATTTATCATTTCTTGAATTTTGTAATACTTTACCTAGAATCTTCATATTTTCAGTGATGTTTGCTAATCTGAAAATTTATAGTAAATACTTTACGTAGTTTTTAAAATAAATGAAACCAAAACTAATTTAAATCACATGGTGTTTAACTTCTTGTTGTTATTTTTTGTAGGTTTTTGTTGCTTGACATCAACAATTTGGCATTGTATTTACCCATTATTATTATTATTACTTTTTAGTAACATCGCAGTGTTATTATAATAGTACCTACTAAACTTTCATAGGTATTATTATTTGTTTAAATTCAAAGTATATACCTTTACTGCTCTTACTTTCCTATAGTCACACACTGGTTTAGCATAGGTAGGTATAGGATAAATTGTTGACCGTGCTGTATGACCACATATCTATATAAAGTGTGGGTATGACCCCTTAAGGTTATTTACTATCCGCCCCGGTATATTATTCTATTTTCGTCTACGATTAAACTTATTATCATAACACGTGATTCGTTAAAAACTGTGGTGTGATATATAGCAGTATTTTTACAGACATTCGTTTAGTGCAACAAATCGAAAACCATTGATGTTTGAACAATAGACATCACAGAACAAACGAACGTTTCGGTGGTTTTGACAGTTGACGTTGTCAAATTTTACTGTTTTCGGCGTCGGCTTTAAATTACTGAAATAAATCAACAAAAAACTTTAAAATGCCCGAAAGTAAAGCGCAAAACGGAGGTGATCGTCAAGTTAGAGTTTGGTGCGATGGGTGGTAAGTTAAATAGCTTCGTAATCAATATTAATTTAAGGTTAGATTGCTACAACCCCTGAAAGGTTAAAAAATAACGTATCATGTTTGTATTGGTCATATAATCTTTATTTATCAATCCATTTTCATGAGTTTTTCTGTATTCTGTAACCTGGTCTTTCTAATATAAACCATTGATTCAAGAAATCATGATTAAGGGTGGGTCAATGTTAGAAAAAATACACAAGCATGCTCTTGCAATTTCCTTGTAGGTATTTTATCCAGGAGATATTGCAATATTGCAATATCTCCTGGATAAAATACCTACAAGGAAATTGTAAGAGCATGCTGGTGAATTTTTTCTAACATTGACCCACCCTTAAACCTAGAAAAACCTATTTTTAACTGTATTGGTGTTTTTGAAATTTTGGTGATATGTTAAAAAAGAAATATATATTTTTTAACTAAAAAATACCTAAATCATGTACAAAAAATTCTAGGAGTAAAGAAATATATAATATATTAGCAATAATTGCTCAATCATAATTAGATATAAAAAATGATTATTGATTAGTTTGAATATTTAAATACCTATCCAAACTAATTGATATTTAGGTATATAAAGGGGACAGCAATAAATAAATGCAATTTAAAATTAAAAATATTTTACCTAAATCTTTAAAAATATTTATTAACATAGCGCGACCTGAGAATTATATTGTTCTATCTGCCAAAATTTAAAGAGGAACAAATAGCAGTTTAAAGTTTAATTTATATACAAATAAAATTTTAAAAAGCTGTTTTTCCGTGTCAGATTTTTAAAAGATAGAATCTCCCAAAACCTAAACACGCAAAAACAGCTTTTTAAAATTTCATTTGTATATAAATTAAACTTTAAACTGCTATTTGTTCCTCTTTAAATTTTGGCAGATAGAACAATATAAGTAATTCTCAGGTCGCGATAGGTAGGTATGTCTACCTACCTAAATTATTTTTTATTTTATTGGCCTAAACGAGTTAGGGATACCTATAGCCTATAGGCTATAGGTACATATTTATGCAATGTTAAAATAAAAATGTTTTTTGAGAGTATACAAGTACCTATAGAGCTCTTAAATATAATAATATAAACAGGAGTTGCATCAGAATTTTTTTGTTACTTTTGTTAATTAAAATTAATTTTAAAAAGATAAAGGCCTAATTAAAACAACAATGTTATGAAAAATTAAAAAAAAATTACAACATTTTGAGGTACCAACTCATATTTTCCTGTATATTAGTCATATTCGTGAAATATTAATTTAAATATTATTTAGCTACCTAATACAATAGTATATTATAATAGTTTAAATTAACAAAACAATGATTATCAGGTAAAATAAAGGATGGTAGGTACATTATTTTTGTTAATTAATTGTTAAAAATTAACCTCAAGTAAAAAAGCACACATTTTAGTATTAATTTCTAAATTTATTATGAATATATTGTTTTTTAGCTATGACATGGTGCATTTTGGCCATGCCAACTCACTCCGCCAGGCCAAAGCTCTAGGAGATTATTTAATAGTTGGAGTGCACACTGATGAAGAAATTACCAAACACAAGGGTCCCCCAGTGTTTACGGAAGAAGAAAGATACAAAATGGTAAGAGGAATCAAGTGGGTTGATGAAGTGGTGGAAGGAGTGCCTTATGTAACCACCCTACAAACTTTGGATAAGTACGATTGTGACTTTTGTGTTCATGGGGATGATATCACAATGACTGCTGATGGAGTGGATACATATCATCTTGTTAAATCTGCAGATAGATACAAGTGAGTACATGTTCTGTTCTTTATTATTAAAAATGGATTTTGTATTAGAAATTATTATTTAGTTTAATCACTTTTTGCTTTACATATCTTTAAAAAGTAGGTAATATTTTTTTTTCTATATTACCTCAAATATTTAAATTCAGGAAAGCGGAATATTAATATAATAAAAATAATATTACAAAAAATATATAATTTTATTTGATATCGTTTTTAGTGCACTTTTAACTTAAAATAATCAAATATTTAATTTAGAAAATACCTTGCTTTTTTATTAAATTTATTTCCTTTTTATCAACAAAAATTACATTAAATTTTTTACGGGCAATGGCGTAAATAAAAACGTGCTTTTTTATTGGGGTTTTCCAAAATAATGAAATACCTTGTCTTATAAGACACTATAGTATCTTTGGACAAAATAGTTTATTATTTAAAAATATGGCAATGTTTGTCAAAACTATGTAGTAAAGTACTTTACTCATGGTATGGTTTAATATGTGTATTACTAAACAGGTAGTAAAAGTTTAATGTAATATTGAAAATGAAATTCAATTTATTTTTTTATTAAATATATTACTTAATTATATTTAATTTTTTATTTTAGAATTTAAACAAAATTTATAATATATGATATTATTGTTAATTAATGATGTCATGTTTGTAAAGGAAACGTTTAATTAAAATTTGGATTTTATCTTTTAACAATAAAAACAATATTTTATCACAAAAATGATTCATTGAACTTAATGAAGTTATTTTATATACAATTATATACATAATAAGTTAAATAAGTATGGTAGTAGTTTTCAGAAAAAGTATTGGTTTGAAACAGTCAAATATCCTATTGCATACAATATTTAAACCCACAAAAATAACAATAAATTAAATTGTATCAATGGGGTAGTTAAATTTTTTCTGACCTATACTTTTTATGGTTTTATTCAAGACGTTTTGTAATTTTAAACATCTTTGTGAAATCGGAATTTCAATTAAGTTTACCGTTTTCGAGATATTTACAAAAAAAAATCTTCTAATTACGTCACTAGGCTATTGACAACGTTGCCAGCTTTTTCTATGGTGTTTAGTTTAAGATTCTCACGATAGATGGCGCCACGTTATAATATTTTAGTTTTAAAACTACTTGATCTAAAATTTTAGTTGAGAAGAAGAAGAAGAATTGATTTTTTGACGTTTCTTTTTTTCGGGTTGTTTTTTTTAAATTTAGATTATTGAAAATCAATGTTATTGTTATGTTATTTGTAATTGATATTAGATAAGTTATTTATTAAAAACGGACTCCAAAGCAGAGGAATCTTGTGGAATGGTTGGATACATTGAACATTGGAGCTTTTAAACAAATAAAGTAAATACCTATAATTATAATCATATTTTGTCGTAAATGCATTTCATTAGTATAATGCCTAGTTCGTTATATTCTTTTAGATATATCTTGGACTCTAAAATATCAAACAGTAATATGATACCTCGTTATAAGTAAGATAGGTACTTAATGAATTTGGTGACCATCTTTCACTCAACTGACAGTATTTGTACATAACCTCTTCGGGTATTTTCTGACAGAACCGAATAAAATCATTAACAAGACAACTTGACAACAGGGTAATTTTCAACCAATAGAAATCTTAGAATGTTGGTCACATGGTGAGGTTTGTGACGTCATAAAAATGTATATTTTTTGTAAATATCTCGAAAACGGTAAACTCAATTGAAATTCTGATTTCACAGAAATGTTTAATATTACAAAACCCCTTGAATAAAACCATAAAAAGTATAGGTCAGAAAAAATTTAACTACCCCATTCATTGTTTATTTAATTGAGTAAATTATTTTTTATGATTTCCAAGTTTTATAAACATTATTTTATAAGAATACGGATTTATACTTTTTCGGTTTCCATTACAATATACCTACTTACTAAAGTTAATGTTTCTTGCTTTACATTGTTTTTTTCAGTTTTTAATACTAGTAAATAATGGTGTGAAATACAATATTAAATACAGTAAATATTTTAGTTTAAAATACGTACATTAAAATTCAAGTTTGATGTTTTTTAAAATGCAAAATTTATGTATTCAATAACAAACAGGTAAAAAACATAAATAGTACATAAGTTTTGTATTACAACCACTTTAAATGAATAATTCACTTTTAATTATAACATAAAGGTTGCGAAAAATTAAATTGTGGATTCCTTATAAAAAAAAAGTTTTGCTCTATGGGTCAAGTTACTCCCTGTAACTTTTTTTACTTCCTGTTAAAAAAGTTTTTGTTTAATAAATTTTAAACTTCTAGGAAACGAAATAATATATGAATGTAAAGCGTTTTTCAAACTTTTTTGATGGCGGAGCCCCAATAGAGTCGTATCTAATATGACGGAGCCCGGTAAAAAGAAATAGAAATTTTAAGTAGTAAAAATTATTAATTCCCACTAAATAAACCAAGTGCATAACACAAGACTATAAAGTATACAAAACTTACAATAAACAAAGTATACAGATTATAAGGATTTTGAAAAAAATATAAGTATATAAAAATCACATTTGTTAAGGTCATGCCTTCTTTAGTTCGTGTATAGGTTCATGAAACTTTCATGCTTTTTGTTTATTTTATTTTAATTCTCTAATAAATAAAGGATACATTAGGGGCGTAGCGAAGGTTCCGATTATGGGTGGGGTCCCTATTAAAAATGCCATATAGAAACACAAAATAAAAATCTATCTGGTTCAATATAGGTATTTGAAACAGGCATTGCACTATTGAACCAGATAGAATTCCAAACCTATTAAAATGTTGACTTTACATGTGTTAAATAATTTTTCAAAATAATAATTCCAGATTTATTTGCTTATTTCACGAATTCGCAATAAAATATTTTTTTTCTGAAGATCATTGGCGTAGGTAGAACATTTTTCGCCCAGGGCAAAGAGTATAACTTTTTACTATCAATTTGATTAGCTCTGAAATCACCTGAAAGTGCAAATTTTACAAAACTATTAAAATTTTACAAATCACCAAACATGACTTTAGCGATTGGAATTTCTTTTAATATTTTGTTATAGATAATAAAATATGAAAAATTGACCTATTCAAATTTAATTTAGCAGTTAACTGCACAAATTTGTGGATAAAAAATGCAAAGTTTCTGAAAAGTCACTGCAAATTGTTTATTTATAAATATATTGTTTGAAATTAGATATTCTTATTAATTTATTATATTACCACAAAAAGTTTATTTAATTATTCTCGATTTTTTATTAAAAAGGCCGCGAATTTGCGAAATAATCCTTAACTTAGCGCTACTTTTGAAAATGCCGACTAAGGAATTTACAGAAAAATGGATACTATGTAATTTAACTAAATAATTTTCGGAAAGTGCCGATTTTTTTTAAATCACAGAAATTTTGTTCACATTCATTGGAAATATTGGAATCTATTATCGAAACAGGAAAATTTCGACTCTGGAAAAGTTGGGGGGTATGACATCCCCCTACACCGCCCTCGCTACGCTCCTGCATATCTTGGCATTTTTAAAGAAACATTTACAATTAGTTTAGAAATGTTATTTGGAGTCTTTATTTTTTTGCGGTGGTTCCTTAAGTTGTCCAGACAATAATTTTTTTTATATTTTAAATAAGTGAAAATTAATTTGGAATCAATACGCGTTAATTGATTACTTTGCTTTGTTTATTAAATTGATCGCTTGATAGATAAACAGATTTTCCAAAGTAAAATTTGGTTAATTTATGTTTTTGAAAAACAAGGGGGTCGTCCAGGGAACGAATTATATAGTTGAGTTTGACTGATGACATTTGTTGTGATTTTAGCCGGTATCGTTACGAACTCAAACTACTATAGTCACTGCCAAATCTATATGGGTGCACGTCATCAATGAGATATAATGACGTCAGCATTACCAACTTTGAATTGTAAAGTTACTGCCGTTAAATTTGCATTTTTAAGGCGTAATTCTGATGTGTTATTAAAAAGAAATCATTCATTTGCGTATTGTTTACCAAGAACTGTAACAATTTCCTTGTTTTAAAACGTTTTTTCACGAAGTTATCAAAATAAAACCATTCACTTAGTAATTTTTGTGTGTGCCAATTGGTAATAGCTTAAGGCTGGCCCGCACCGTTCAATATTATTGATTGGTCGCTGTCATTTTATATTTGACGTATTTTTGTAATTGTGACATTTCGTCCGGAAGCATCGTTTGTTGCAAATTATTATAAATAATATTATACATTATGTTTATAAGATTCAATCCCTGGATTGTGCAAACAATGATATAAGGCTTGTTGGCAACTAGCCGTTATTAGATTTCGAAGACATTGCGCCCTTATTAATAAATTTGGGGAAATAATCAGACTTCAATTCTGACCTGGTTTGCTCTGATGACAATGACGACTGGTAATTTATTATTTTTGTGTTTCTGATAATTTAGTATTTTTTTGTTATGTGCATATGTAATAAAAATGTAATAAACTCCGTTTGTTTTCTTTTTAAACACATTTAATAAAAATTTGCCTGTAACAAACTCCTAATTAGTTAGTGCAGAAGATTATAACAAGGACGTTATAATTCCATCTTAATAACAGCCCCCACCGCTATAAACAGTCAACAATACACGAGCGTTAGATTGTGTCTGGGCACGTATGAATAGACCTTAACGCTGACGTCATATGCCGTTGATGACGTGCACCCATACAGATTTGGCCGCGACTATATTATATAATATGGATGCAACATGCAACTCCTCGCCCTTCCAAAAAATAAACAAAATTTATTTTATTTAATGGTTATTATTTGAAAAAAAGATATGCTAATAATAAAAAAATTATCTTGAAGTTACTCCCAAAAATTCAGATTTTTAAATTAATTTTTAACCTGAGCCCCGACTACTTTTAATAAAAAAATTAGAACAAATCCTAAAAAAGTGAAAAAAACTAATAATTTAAAAAAAAATAATTTTCAAACTTCTA